GATGCAAATTGTATATTGTCGTTTTTATAACGTGGTTTATTTATTACAACTTAAAATATATCTGATTCAGAATTTATTAGTCATTATTTCACCATTTCATTTCGCTTTTCGTTGTTTATATTATATGATAATTATAATAGATCTTAATTTTCTAAATATTATTTCTAAATCACGATACTTAAGATTAGCACATTTAAAAAAAAAAAATGTTTAGATATGACCACTAAAAAGATATCATGGACCACTGGCAAATTAATGAACCGTTCTGGTTAACTCCAGAGCTATGTGTTCGTGCAGCCTCCTAAGACAATCGATAACTTATTGGTCTTCCTCGATTTAGATTTAAGTCAATTCTTCGATAGCCTGTCCCAAAACAGGAGTCGGAGAATTTCCTATTTTTAAAGATAACCTAGAGTTATTAGCCCCCAATAATTCATTTGAACGCTATACAACATAGTAACTAATGAATTTACACCAAAGTGTCGATGTCTTAACATAAAAGATGTCCATCAATAAAAGATGTCTTCTAAACCATGTTAAATTATGTGCTGATCTTAATAAGTTAAGTATAATTATTAAATAAATTATCATATTATGTAAATGACTTCATTCATACTAACTGTTTGTCCCATACTAACATTACCTCTCCCGGCGGTCGTGTAGTCGTACCTTCACGTTGGTGACTGCCGTTAAGAATAAATTTTTGTTTTTCAACAAATGTTTGTTTGAACCGAATTGACTACGTTCCTTTCATGGCATGCTTTTAATCATTTTTATACATGGCTCTATATTCGTTAACTTACTATCATTCCTTTGCTTAGATACTAACAGCAGTTTATTACTTATTACATTACCCATTACTTATTACATTTATGCATTACTTATTGCTTGACTGTCCTTGCTAACATTTTTATGTAGTATGTATAAAATATAGTATGCAGCTCGTTACTTTTCATGTGTTACTGTGGAGATTATAGAGTGAATGAATGTTGGTTTGGTCATAGTGTAAGAATGGTAAACGTTCCTATTCGTTTTATTTCCAGCGAAAGCCGCTGCTGTACGTTATATTCATTTGATACCTCATACGTAGTAATCAGGTTAATAGACCTTAAGATACGTTATAGTGCCATTTTGAAATTGATTTTGTTGCTTGTTTTTTCATCTCAATGTATTCGTTACCCCCTCCTATTTCATTTGACGCTTTATACGTTGCAATCGGACCAATAGACCCTGAGATACGTTATAGTGCCGTTTTGGCATTGATTTTGTTTCATGTTTTCATCTTGATGTATACATTATTCTCTCACCTTTCGTTTAACGCTTCATACGTTGCAATCGGACCAATAGACCCCGAGATACGTTATAGTGCCATTTTGGCGTTGATTTTGTTGCTTGTTTTTCATCTCAATGTATTCGTTACCCCCTCCCCTTTCATTTGACGCCTTATACGTTGCAATCGGACCAATAGACCCTGAGATACGTTATAGTGCCATTTTGGTATTGATTTTGTTGCTTGTTGTTCATCTCAATGTATTTGTTACCCCCTCCTCTTTCATTTGACGCTTTATACGTTGCAATCGGACCAATAGACCCTGAGATACGTTATAGTGCCATTTTGACTATACCGCCATCTTTGTTTTTTCTCTCTACGTGTTACCCGTTTTCTTCCCGTTCGTTTGACACCTCATACGTTGCAATCGGACCAATAGATCCGGAGATACGTTATAGTGCCGTTTTGACTATGCCGCCATCTTTGTTTTTTCCCTCTACGTGTTCCCCGTCCCCTTCCCGTTCGTTTGACACCTCATACGTCACGATCCAATATGCCGTCGCGCCTCCACCACAAAAAGAGCCAAAAATGACCAGAATGGACCTTAGATTTTCTTATGGAGATTTACATGGGAAAATGACCGATTTTGGGCTCGAACTGTCCTAGCTCTTTTACTATCCTCATTATCGGATAAACTTTCTGTATCTGATACATCTGTCCTAACAGGAACTACGTTGCTTGTTTTTTTTCCATAAAACGTAAGAGAAGGCATATCCATGTTTCTGAAAAGGAAATTGATGTTGTTATAACCATTTCTACTTAGCGTCAACGTTGATTCTGAGCAATATATTTTTAGGAGAAGTTTTTGCTAAAACTCCTCAAAATAAAAAGTACCTGTATATTTTAGATTATAAATACACCTTTCCTAAATATAGTCTAAAAATATTACGGCAAAATTTTTTGTGGCAAATAAAGTGGCCGTCAAAATTATCAAGATTTGTTTCGCACCAATGGCATGTCCATGGAGATTTACCGGTTGACCATGCCTGAACGAAGATTTCAATTCCTTCTTACCCGCATTCGTTTTGATAGCAAAATAACTAGAGAAGTAAGAAAAGAGACTGATAAATTTGCCGCCTTTATTTCCCGACGCACATGCGCGTCATCCGCATATGTGAATGATTTCATTGAAATATGCGGAAGCCGCTTATATGGGCCTTTACGAAATGATTAAAAACCATTTTTTGGGAAAGTTTAATGTTTATTTGCAACAAATAAAAATAACAAAAATAGATTTCACAAAATATGGAGTCTATTATTTTCTATGGTATTCCTGAAAACATACTCCTAGGCAAAGTCCTGGTTTTCCTTCACATTCTAAACAATGGTAAATACTATCTTTTCGTATCTTTTTGGTAGAATACATTCAGCATCTTTTTCTTTTAAAGTTTTACCGCATTCATTGGTGACATCAATTTTTGAAGGTGTGTGTTCAACATTTTGTATCCTGCCTTTTCCTGTAGATGGAACTTCTGATAACAAATTTTCTAAGATCTCGTGTCTAAACTTGCTCAGTGTTTTTTTTGCCATAAAATTTATTATATAGGATAGGAGAATTAATAAGTAATAACTGAATGATATGCAAACTTATTTTTTTATACCAACGTAATGTTTTTCACTGTTAACTTATTAGGATTTTTCACTTGTATAATCTTACGTATTTTTGTACCAGAAGGTCCAGGTTTACTTAAATCTGCCATTTCAATATAATGTTTACACACCAGAGTATATAACACGTTTTTCTATCGACAAAAATAAGGTTGTAATGAAAAAAAAACATTAAATACTCAATTCTTACATTCGTAAAACGGGACGCCATCTAGAGTGTAAAATAAAAATCAAAACTAGAAACGAAAGTTGCCCAATATTAGGCTGAATATCTAGCAATATGCTGATAAAATTCTGTATACTTATACTGCTATGCTACTTTCAAAAAATATGATTATAATTTAAGTGTACCGACCCGCGTCGTGGGCGCCGCGGACGACGACGTGCGTCGTCCGCATATGGCTCAACTTCGCTACGCCGCACATGTGCATCCGCAGCGAAAGGGTTAACAAAATTCTTATTACAGTTTTCAAAAACCGTATACAGGATGAAATTTTTGCTATGAACAAAACAAACAAATTTTTTAAAGGCAGAGCTGATCTTTTCTAGTTTGTATATATATATATATATATATATATATATATATATATTATATATATATATATATATATATATATATATATAAATCAGTTAATTAGGTGGTAGAAGTGTAACGTTTGATTAAAATATGAGACACGTAAAAGTTATGACGAATAGAAATTTCAGTCAAACTCACCCTATATACTATCAAAACAATGGGAGCAGACACTTTTTAATGGTCAATTGTTATTCCCCATAGAAGCCTCCATACGAAGTAGGAGTATTTACAGTTCCTTATGACTCACCCTGTATATACAGAATAGATGAATATAATTAAGTAGAGGGAAGTTTGATACCGAAACAGGTAATATATGCCTAAATCCTGGAATGAAGAAGAAGAAAAGAATATTAAATATGTATATTTTAGAAATAGAAAAAATTGCAAATATTTAATAAATTTTATCCAGAGTAAAGGATCGCTACTATATCGAGACTCTGCGACCTGCCCAAGAACTTCCAAGTTCTCTATTCAACCTTGAAACCGAAATTACCTATCATATTATAGAGAAAATTAAACATTTACTCTCTTATTAATAAACACGGACTAACCTTGGACTAACATTAGTCCCAGGACTACACCAATAACATTCATTTTTCGTATTAATAAACAGCGACTAAGGACAGACTAAGCTAAACTTTAGCTAGTCTCGGACTAACATTTAATCCCAGGTAGTGGCAGGTTTAGAGAGTGACTAACTTGACAATTGACATTGAGTGGAGTTTTGTTTTGGTATTCATAACCTGAATTGTTTTTGATTATTCATATACATTATTTAATAATGAAAGATTATTTTATCAACGATTTAAGATTAATAGAACAACTTAATGACCATAGAAATCAGTGAAATAATATTCATCTAAGACATATTAAAATATATAAAATTTATTTAATAAAATATTTTATAATTCATTATGTTTATTAGTATTTTTTATATTTTCCCTTTGTAATAAAATATTTTTTAAAGTTTCCTCCTGAACTTTTATGAAGTTTAAACTTTTCAGATAAAAAAAATACTATAAAATATAAACAAACTTTCTCAGAACACAGTCCAACTAAAATTAACTCTACATGCTCCAACTTATGCTAACTGTCAAATTCTCAAATATTTTTCTTCTTTTTCACAAAATTCTCTTCATTTTTCTTCTTTTTCGCAATGGTTGCCAACATAAACTTGTTGTACCTAGGACTAAGGAAGGTTTAGTTAGTCTGAGCTTAGTCCATGTTTATTAATACATTCTGAAATGAGTTATACTCGCTTAATCTGGGACTAACTAGTCCGAGACTAACTTCGGACTAAGCAATTTTTATTAATAAGACTGATAGGGTCTATTATTTTCTAAAATACTATTGAATTTGCTTTTGATTTTTATAGCCTAAAGAACCTGGAATATCCTCAGGAAAAAATATAATGATATATAATTTTATTAACCTGACTCATTGTTATTTTATTATTTATTTTTAGGATATTATACACGAATACAAATGTATGACGAAATACGGGAAAACGTGCTACATTACATCGAGGTATTGGCTAGGCCAATGGTGATGTATCAAAATGATCACCCCATATATTGGACTCCTGCATACGTTGGGGGAAGGGTAAGTTTTTTGATATTAATTTTTTGTCGTAATGATGGTAGTATTGGTAAATTTTATTTAAATTATTCATATATCATTATGGTAATTGGTATTTGAGCAGGGAAAAATATTGAAGTATAATATGAAAATATGATATCCTAGCCAAATGGGGTAAGATTCAGTCTACAGATTGTGAGAACGGCCATAAAAGATAAACCATACACACTACTTCTGAATGCCCTCACCAAGCAGATCCAGAGCCATAGAGTGACTTCCTTCTAGCAACACCTTAAGCAATAAATTTGATACATAGTCTGGACATCAACGTTTGATAAATAAAGTGTGTATTAATTACTATTTATAACTGGGAATAAGCCACACTTAAAGATAAAAATACGTTTATTGACGTTTCAATTTCCAATTCGGAAATCGTTCTCAAAATACAAACAGTAAATTAAACAAATTTTGTTTTTTGTTGAATTTAAATAATAAATTAATAAATTAATAATTAATAAATTTGTTTAATTTACTGTTTGTATTTTGAGAACGATTTCCGAATTGGAAATTGAAACGTCAATAAACGTATTTTTATCTTTAATTGTGGCTTATTCCCAGTTATAAATAGTAATTAATTTACAATGCCACAAGAAAATAGCTTCAGAACAATATAAAGTGTGTAGTTTATAACATTTTTCTTAAAATTTGTAATTGTGATTTGTGAAAAAACCGGTTTTTTCGATTTTTTTCGAACATCTTTAGTAGAAAACAAAAATTAATATAATAATGATTTGACTGTTGTTCCAGGCTGACAGCTTCTCTGATGACAAACGTGGTCAACTCATGACAACCGTTTCCACTCCAGTTTTTGACCGCCGGAATCATTCTGTAATTATTGATAATTAATTATGAAATACAAAAACTGAATTCATTTTTGTTTTAGGTTCGAGTTGCCAATGTTTTAGGTGTTGTAGGCACAGATGTATCTATTGATCAAATCAAGAAGTTGGTGCCATCATACAAAGTAAGGTTTACCTACCTAATTAAACAAGAAAGTTTTGTGATTATTTCAAATTTGTTTTAGCTTGGAGTTAATGGTTATTCTTTTATTGTGAACAATAATGGACACGTTCTTTATCATCCGGATTTAAGGCCATTGGTAGGTAGAAAATGATGAATTCTATAAAGAAAAATTTAGAAATTTGAATGAAATAAAATGGGTCCAATTTATTAGTACTTATTGTCCTTTTTCATTATTATTTACCTTATTTATATGACTTGATATGTGAGATAAATATTTTTCAATGATATTCCATAAATAAACTTCTAATAAGAAGGGCCTAGAGGAGCTAACACTCATTCGAATCAAGAACAATATTTAAGTAACTGGCCCTTTCATTCTAAAAATGGATGAAGCCTTCTATCTACTATCGGTATTTACGGTAGATAATAATGTCAGGAAAGAAATTCAAAGAAGAGTAGTCAGCCAGCAAGTGTTATCACTACTTACGACAGAAAAGGGACTGCCAGAAAAATTAAAGTAACCATCTATAGAACACCAATAAGTACAGTGTTAATATATATCATACTAGACAACTAGATAAAGAACAAATATCTGGACAGTTAGGATCTTTATAGGCAATAAATGACATAAAATCTTTAGGAGTTAATGAGTGTAGGAAAGCTGTCAGACACAGGGGCAATTCTTAAGAAAGCTTTGGCTCATAATAAGCTGTAACGCCATTGATAATGATGGTACTTGTATTTTATAATTACGGCATGTACCACTTACTTTTTGTCAGCAAGTTGTAGCTAATCTTTTTTCAAATAGCAATCTAACAATACTCTTGGATTGGTATTTAATTATTGAAGCCCACAAAGGACCAATTTTCGTTAAGTGTTCCAACATATCTTATGTAGCTTTCAGTTCTTATGTATAGAAATATATAGATATTATAGGGTCATTTTTCAGGAGAATAACGACCTATATGAGGACACATTGGAACCAAAATACATATCAGCTGATTTAACAGAAGTGGAGTTGGTTGAAAATGAAAACGGTCCTCGAGAAAACCATACTCTTCTTCTAGATGTAAGAAATTTTTTGTTTTTTCTTTATGAGTAATCACTAATACGTTTTTTTTTTGTAGTTGAGGCACGATATGATTGACCAGAAAGAGGGCGAGACTGAAATTGGGGTGAAAGTGCATTACGATAACATGGTAAGGAGATAAATAATATATACAGTTATTATTTTTCTTCTTTAGCAACATCTTAATAACATTGGTTATTTTTAAAGCATTTTGGACATTTGGGATTTAGAGAGATCCTTCTCTTCTTATTTTTGAATCGAGCAAGACACTATTTGTCTCTGGCACTTGGTAGTGAGACCTCTATTCCTTACTTTACTCTTACTTTAAGATCCACCAAAAAGACCCGTACGTGAACAATCAAAATTAATGGTACAAACAATATTAGTTGAAATCTCAAAATCCAAGTATTACTCTAAATCTCCTAATCAAAATATTTATATCCTTTCTAAATTAAGTGTAAAAATTGTGTTATCGATGAAAGAAAAACTGCAGAAAACAAAACTATCTCTCTCTGATGATGAGTGGTCCAAATCCTTGTTATTTGTAGACTATACTATTTTCTCGTGGCCGCTCCCTACGTAATCAGCAATCTTACAATAAATTATTGCAAGTATCTCGTCCTTAATGATCTCCTTCAAATGCACGAATCGTTCAAATTATGCTAGCTTCTTCTTCTCTCAATAAACTGAATCTCTCGTTGGCCTGAGTGAAAAATGACTCTTGGAATATCTTTTCTTTACGATAAACTGAATCTCTCGTTGGCCTGAACAGTGACTCTTGGAATATAAGTAGAAAAATATGACTTACAATATTTTACTGGATCAGCTTCTGTCAGATACACTAACTACACGAAAACTCACAAACTTTCACTGCTACTGCTTCCTACCTCTGGGACACTACCCGAGAACAACGGCTGTTCGCCTTGCACCCTTGGAAACCAACTAACTATCTTTTTTCACTCCGAAATCTAGCTAAACTTTCATTCCTACATACCTCCCACCTTTTTTAATCTCCGCCAATCAAAACTCGTCACAATTCCCCATTCTTTCATTCCGATAACAAACAAATTTTTACCTATAATTATAAAATTTCCTAAAACTTATTTACAAATAATATTTTTCTATAATTCTTAAAAACTAACAAAAACCTCTTTATAAAACCTCTTCTATTGTCTTTAATCGCTGCGTTAATGTATTTGGAAAAACCCGGTTCAATTGTCTTTGGGATTTCACTTAAAATTATGCGGGTCACTCAAGTATAGTCTTCTTCTTCTCGTGCCACTCCTAGCGGAGATTGGAAATCATCATGGCCACTGCGACTTTGTTAGCAGCGCGCCTGAAAAGTTCAATCGAACTACACCCGAACCATTCACGTAGATTACGATTCAAGTATAGTATAACAAAGGAAATAATTTTATGCTTAGCTTACATTTTGTTTAATACAGGTAATCCAAAAATTTAAATATTTTCCTTCTTCGAAATGTTTGTTGGGTATTATCCTAATTATCTGAATTATTTTAATGTTTTTGAATCTTGAAATATTTTAGACAAACCAATATCTTTCTCGATTTTACATATCATAACAATATATATATATATATATATATATATATATATATATATATATATATATATACATATATATATATATATATATATATATATATATATATATATATATATATATATATATATATATATATAGTGTATATAACAACGGTAAGAATACAATTCTTTGATATAATTGAACACTGATATAATGATCACTTTTTGAACATGATTTTATCATTATATATTTTTTAGTAGATCGATATAGTGTTTCAGTAAATCAGTAAATTGAAGTTGAAATCAGTTGATCTACTGAAAAATCAGTAGACCTGGCAACCCTGCGAGAGGTAGTAATGGGCAACGTACAGGCACCAAAACATGGCGGTCACATCGAAACTGGCTTCACTTTGCAAAGGTTTATTAAATGAGTCCTTGTCCTCTCTCTTTCCTTGTTTAAGCCTGAACCGCTCTGGTGGAGCATATCTTCAGCGATACACCCTCCTCATGTTTCATCTGTTCTTGCTCTTCTCGACGACCGCTAACTCTAGGAGCCTATCACACTAGGCTCCACGACACCCACACGAATCACTTCAGCGCACCCGTCAATAAGCTGACATCCTTCATATCGAGGAGCTTATATAGTTTCATCGATAAATTGTATCAGGGCGTCTTTAATTCTATTCTTTTTTTATTTTATTCTTTGATACCAACTTGTTCGGGTAGGTCTTGAGAATGATATTTCACTGTTGGTTTACGTCCGGGTATCTACTCCTTTTTTGAACTACTTTTGTTAATTTTTAGGTCCTTATGAAGCATAAAACTATAAATTTTTTATCTTAAAATTTTTCACAAATTAATACAATATTCTCTTCGCATCATTTCTTGTCTTTTAACTAACTGGAATGAATGAACATAACATGTAGTCAATATACCCCTTTTTCAATACAAAACCAAGCAGAAAATAGACATGGATGAGTCCCGATAAAAAGAAAAAGAATGAAATAGATTATATCTTAACGAAGAATAGAAACCTAGTAGAAGACGTATCAGTATTATATCAGTTTGACCTAGGAAGCGATCATAGACTAATAAGAACAAAACTAATAATTAACGAAAAACTAGAAAGAAAAAGAATACATGAAAAACGATACAAATGGACATCTGAAGAAATCAAAAGTAGTGAATTGAATAAAAAGATAGTGCATGCATTAAATCAACTTAGCATGCAGCAGATAAACTCCAATGATATTGATGATTTGAATAACTTTATTACCGAAACAGTGAATAAAAGCCTTATGCAACTGAAAAAAAAAACAACATACAATGAATTAGACAAAGAAATATTACAACAAATAGAAAGAAGGAAGATCTTAAATAAATCTAACAAAAGGGGAACCGACGAATATAGAGAACTTAATAGGCAGATTAGAAAAGGAATCAGACAACAAAAAAGAAAAGAAAACGAAAAATTAATAACAACAACTATTGAAAAAAATAAGAGTATGAAATGCCTCAGACCGACACTAGGACGACGTCAGATGATATCATTAATGGGAAAAGACGAAAATGAAATCACAAGTAGAGAAAACATACTGACACGAATAGAAGAATTTTACACAGAACTTTACAGATCACATCAACAAGATGATGAGATGAGACCAGCACGGAAATTAATAAAAAATGTTGGATCAGAAATAATGCCAAAAGTAACAATTTCAGAGGTAACTACAGCATTGGAAAACATGAAGAGAAATAAAGCTGCAGGAGAAGATAGTATTACCACAGATATGATATTAGAAGGAGGTAAGGAACTAATTGCAATTGTAACTAAACTTGTGGACAGTTGTTTACATCAGGGCAAAGTCCCTAAGAGCTGGAACAACTCTAAAGTAATCTTATTACACAAGAAAGGTGATAGTCGAAAATTGGAAAACTACAGACCCATCAGCCTACTGTCACACCTGTTTAAAATACTCACCAAAGTCATAACTACTCGACTATCAAGGAAATTAGACGAATACCAACCATATGAACAGGCAGGTTTTAGAAAAGGCTACTCAACTTCCGATCACCTGTTAACCACAAAAATATTAATAGAAAAATGTAACGAATACAAGTTTCCAGTTTTCCTAGCATTTGTAGACTACGAAAAAGCTTTCGATACCATAGAACACACGGCCGTAATAAACGCAATGCAAAATTGTAGAATAGACAGCAGATATATTAACTTAATAAAAGAAACTATGAACCAAGCTACAGCTACATACTACCTAAATGAAAATGAACACACGAACCATGTACCATTAAACAGGGGAGTCAAACAGGGAGATACTTTATTACCCAAACTGTTCACCTTAGTATTGGAGGACGTTTTTAAAAACCTAAATTGGAAATATAAGGGAATAAACATCAATGGCCGCTACCTCAGTAATCTATGATTTGCAGATGACATAATCCTGATAGCTACTGACCTACAAGAAATGCAAACCATGCTTTTAGAACTACATACCGAATCTTCTAAAATAGGACTGAAAATGAATTTAAACAAAACAAAAGTCATGCATTCCGAAGACACCGTGACAATAATAAACGATAAAGTTATAGCAAAAAGTTGAAGAATATATATACTTAGGACAAAAAATAATCCTAAATAGGGAAATTCAAACTGAAGAAATAAAAAGAAGAAGAAAGTTAGCTTGGGCAGCATTCGGTAAACTGAACTATATACTCAGAAATCAACAAATTCAATTACATCTTAGATCTAAAGTTTTTGATGCATGCATTATTCCGATATTAACTTATGCGGCACAAACATGGACAATCACAAAAAAGAATATGAATATACTTAGAGTCACTCAACACGCGATGGAAAGAGCAATGCTAGGTATATCACTTAAGGACAAGAAAACAAACACATGGATAAGACAGAAAACCAAAGTCACCGATGTGGTGCAAAAATCATTAAAGTTGAAATGGGAATACGCTGGACATGTAGCTAGGAGCGATCTAAACAAATGGCACAGATCAATTTTAACCTGGAGACCATACCAACACAAAAGACCCAGAGGCAGACCTCCTATGAGATGGACAGATGATCTGAAAAGGACTGCCGGGAAAAATTGGCTACAAGTAGCGTACAATAAAAAACAATGGAAAGGAAGACTTGAAGAGGCTTATGGTCAGATGTGGACGTGAATGGCTAGACGAAGAAGAAGAACTAACTGGTTGGCTATTTTAGTCCCGTTTGAAGACTCTTGCCAACATCAAGCTTGTCAACTATTTATTGCGTAATGGTGGATATTTCAAAACTAAAGCTTTCGTACAACACTCTTAGTAAATCTAAACTTTTTTAATTGTATTTTTTCCTTATAAATACTCGTTCTTTCTCTATTACAGCGGCGAGTAACTACTAGAAGGAATAAATATTTTTACAATCCCATAGAGGGAACACCGTTTTCATTAGGTCTGGCCATTCCAGAAGGCTACGGCATGTATGAGCTCTTAGCTGAGCAGGAGATAAAACATAGCCAAAAGAATGGTATGATAGTAACTTTTTTTTTGAAAATATCAGCAGTAATTCATTTTGTTTCAGTGAGTGACTATTTTAAGGGCGAAAACTGGAGAGTACATCCTGACTGGTAAGTTCAAAAAATAGTGCTTTACAGTTCATGAAAGATCACGGTATTTTAATCTGGAAGTAGTAGTTTCATAAGTTTAGGAATTTTGTAAGCAGCATCTGTTATAAACGAGTTTGTGGTGATCATTTGTAGATTTATGGAATCTTAAATTATTGACTAAATTAAGCCACGTAACTAAATTCTTAAATTGTAGTTTATGTCCTTTTTAGAGAATATTAATGCTGCTTTGATATAACATTTTTCAATTTCATTGATTATTTTTCTGCCTTCGTTTGATGTATCTGTTTTTTATTTGTAACTGTTTTAGATTTTGATTTATGTTATTAATATATCCCCCGAGCTAAATATTTATTTTCCTTTATTTTTCACATATGTTTCTTTTTTAATCACTTTTCATTAATAAAATTGATTCCTGACATATGTATGATCCATTTTGTCCCTTGCAGCTCTTGTATATTCGTAGCAGTTGCTCTATTAAACAAATATTAAACTATATATTTTTTATAAAAGCAAGAAATTTATCATAATATTTTTAGGGTATATTGTGAATACACCAGTGGTACCTCAGGAGAGCAGTGGTTTAAAACCGCCGAAGAGCGTGTACTACACTTTCTCTTGAGAAGCCGAAGGCCAGGATGGAAATGGATGTCTCTCAGGCCCAGGTCACCCTTACAAAGAGAGCACCATCATGCCTCTGCAAAGCAAGACAAGGACGCATATTACTGTAAGTAATATTTATTTTTAGGTTACGTTAGGTTGAACATTCTGTTTTTAATTTAGTGTCAATAAGATTACTCAGAACATCATATAGAAATGAGTAACTGTTCTAAGTCTACAAATTGTAGACGAAACGAGCAAAAAATTTATTTAAATAGATCTCAATGACCCCAATCAGGGTCGTACAGTTAGTAAGGCAGCTTCCGTAGAAGTTGCTGTTGCTTTTACAAAGTTTAATGTTGTCTTGATACAAGATACCTGGATAAACTAAAGTAAAGTTCATGTAACCTTCTGACTAAGGTCTATTATTGGGGTTTTCAGGACGCGCAAGCACCCCTAACACGACTTAACAACCACTTACGTAGCCTGGGCCGATGGTATACCTGGTATACCAGGGCCAAATAAGAGGTCCATTGGTTTTTGGCGGAGAACTTATATACAGTTGTAAAGTGTTAAAACATACGAGATCAGTCGCAAATTTACACCACTTAACAGCAAGTGGCAGAAAGTGGGTACCGCTTCTATCACGGATTAATCCTTAACCACGTTAAGGAACAAGAGTGTCTTTGGAAAATAAAATCGACGTCATGTCATGATAAAATCGCTAGAAAAAAGCTGTAAATATTTTGGTTGCTAAATTTCAAGAAGTGAAAGCGGATACTAATGAAGAGTTGGTAAAAAAGAAAATTAATATTTTTGAACATGTTACAAAAGGGAATTAAAATTATTTGGATATATGTAATCGCAATTATTCTAATAAACGTTGACAGTATATATGTCTTTACAGCAAACCAATCTTTGCACCATCACCTACGTTTCTTGTATTTTTTTCGTTTATACAAAGATTACGACTCGCTAAAAGTATATCGTTATCTAAAGACTCGTACAGACCTACAAACGCATGCGGTGAGCAGCTACGAATACACATACTTATGCAAATGTAGACGGCGCTTACGTAACCTCTCGCCGCATGCGTTTTTTCGTGCCGCGTGATTTTTTCGCAAACATCAAAGAAACATACGTGTGCGTTCGCGCTCAGTTTAGACGGATATATATATATATATATTATATATATATATATATATATTATATATATATATATTATATATATATATATATTGTGGCTAAACACCCCGTACGGGGTTACGCCGCTTAAGCTCTCTAGATCTATTTTACGAGGTAGATCAGTCCTCATTTTCTTTATTTAATTTTTCTTGTTATTTTTCTCCACTGTTTCCTATCTCTGGTTTTTTCTCTCCATTGTCGTACGCCCGCCCTGTTGAGATCGTTTGTTACTTCTTGTAGCCATGTAGATCTTGGTCTTCCACGTCTTCGTTTACCAGCTGGTGTCCATTCCAATATTGAGAATATTGTCGTAGATGGTCCTGATCTCCATATATGTCCTAGCCATTTTGCCCTTTGCTGTTTTATTTTACAAACTATATCCTCTTTAATTTCGTTTAGTAGTTCATGATTCGTTCTTTGTCTATATTGGTTTTCATTAATTTTTATTGGTCCTAATATTGCTCTTAGTATTTTCCTTTCTAGTATTCTAAGGTCTTCCTCTTGTTTTTTTGTCATGCTAAGGGTTTCGGCAGCATACATCATAGTCGGTCGAATTATTGTTTTATATATTTTCATTTTCGATTTTTTGCTCAGTAATTTATTTTTTAGAAGCTTTTTATTTGCATAGTATGTCTTATTTGCTGTAATTATCCTTTCTTTAATTTCTGTTTCCCTTTCTCCATTGTTTGCTAATAATATTCCCAAATACTTAAACTTTTCTACTTCTTCAAATATATATTCTCCCAGTCTAACCTTTTTGTTTTCATATTTTTTGTCAAATCTCATTATTTTTGTTTTTTCTTGATTTATTACTAATCCCATTACTTTCCCTTCTGCTACCAATTCTTTTAACATACTTTCCATTTTTTTTCTGTTCTTTGTTATTATCACAATATCGTCGGCATATGCTATTATTTGTCCCTCTCTCGTTCTAAGTGTACCTTTGTTGATTTTTCTGACTATATATTCCAGGGCAAGATTAAACAGAGTTGCAGATAATGAATCTCCTTGACGTACACCTTTATTTATAACAAATTCTTCTGTGTCTCCTTCTTGTGTTTTTACAGTTACTACGGTTTTGCTCATTGTCATTTTTATTAATCGTCTTAATTTGTTGTGTATTCTCATTTCTCTCATAGCTGTAAGTAATTTCGCTCTGTTTATTGAATCAAATGCTTGTTGGAAGTCTATAAAAAGCAGTTCAATTTCTATTTTATATCCATAAGCTTTCTCCATAATTTGCTTTACCGTATGTATGGCATCTGTTGTTGACTTTCCCTAATAAATCCGCATTGATACTGTCCCATGATATTTGTTGTCGCTTTGGCCAGTCTTCGTTGTATTAAGGTTGACATGATTTTATACGCTGTGTTTAATAATGTCAGTCCTCTATAATTATTACACATTTGTTGGTCTCCTTTTTTATGGATTGTGATAATTTGTCCTTTGTGCCATTCTTCTGGCATCTTTTCTTCGTCCCATATGACTTTTATTAATTGGTATATTTTTTCTCTGAGTTCATGTCCACCATATTTTATTAGTTCCATGTTTATACCGTCTATACCTGGTGCTTTACCGTTGCGACTACTGTTTATAATTTCCTCAACTTCATCTCTCGTTGGTTTTTCTAGCTCGGTTTCTATCATCGTGGTCTCTTCTTCCACATTTTCATTTAAGTCTTCGTCCTCTTGTACTGTTAATAATTCTTTAAAATAATCAGTCCAGATTTCTTTAAACTCTTTGTCATTTTCTGATACTTTTCCATTTCTATCCTTTATGCCTTTTATCTTTCCTTTGAAGGTTTTGTTCTGCTCGCTAATTTTCTTATAAAATGCTTTTGTGTTTCTATTTGTGTTTTCTTTTTCTATTTCATTTATCTTATCATTTAACCAGGTTCGTTTAATTTTTCTTATTTGTTTCTTACATTCTGTCCTTAATTTGTTGTATTCTTCTTTATATTCTTGTCTATTTGTTCTGATCCACCTTTGTCTTATTTCTATCTTCTTTTTTAACATGTTATGACAGTCTTGATTATACCATTCTTCTTTTTTGTTCTTTCTCTCTATCCCTACATGTTCAGAAGCTGTTTCATTTATACATTTTTTTATATTGCTCCATTCTGTTTCAACATCCTCTGTATGTTCACAGTATTCCTTCAGTTTTTTGCTTATATCTTCTGCATATTTAATTCTTCTATCTGTAGCATTTAATTTTTCTATGTACCATTTGTCCTTTGTTGTCTTGTTTTTTAGCGTTCTTTTGACTTTTTGTCTTATCGTTGCGGTAACCATGAAATGGTCTGTGTCTGCATGTGCACCTCTGTATGTTCTCACGTCTGTTATCGATGTTTGCTTTCTCTTTGTGATGAGTATATGGTCTATTTGGGACCATGTTTTTTGGTCTGGTGAGACCCATGTTACTTTGTGGTATACAGGGTGTGCAAATTTTGTACTACTGACAATCATATTGGTGCTAGTTGCTAAGTTGCATAATCTTTGACCATTATCATTTGTTTTTTCATGTAATGTATATTTACCTGCAACTTGGTTAATGTAGTCTTCTTTGCCTATCTGAGCGTTAAAATCTCCCATTACCAGAATTGTGTCTTCTTTGGGTAAAGATTCAATTTCTTGTTCCAGTTTCTCATAGATGTTATCTTTTTCCTCTGCTACAGCACTTTCAGTTGGTGCATATACGTTTATGATGGATATATTAAATGGTTTGGCGTTAATTCTCAGGTATGCCATGCGCTCATTTATTGGTTTAAATTGCATAATATTATTTTGTATTTTTCCTGTAGTTATAAATGCAACTCCATATTGACCTTGTTTTTCGTGCCCAGAGTAGTGTAATGTGTAATTTTTTTTATTTATTTCTCCTTGACCTGCCCATCTAATTTCTTGAATTGCTGCAACATCAATTCCGTATCTTTCCAGCTCTGAGACAATCTCTTGCATTTTTCCTGGTTCAAGCATTGTTCTGATGTTCCACGTACTTATTTTTACTTGCTCGTGTTTTTTAATTTTTTTGTTATGTTTTTTTTATGTACGTATGTTTTATTATTTTTTCTTGAGAATTCATATCCTTTTTCTTTGCCATTTCGTATTTCGTTTCTTGTTGGATATCCGATATTTCTTGTTGTATCAGTTTTTTGACGTCCCTTGGTTATCTTTTTCCAACTCTTTTTTTTCTTTATTCCATTTCCATATGTCCCCGTCAATATTTAATTTTTGATAGCCAACTCGGATGTTCTTACCTTTAAGTTTTTCTAATTTTCCAATTTTCCGTATTTCCTGTTGTATCTTCATCTCTTCGTGCGTTAGATCATTATTAATGTATATTTCTGGTTTCGTTGATCTTAGTTTGTTTTTATTCCGCATAATTTTTATTTTTTCATTTCTGTCTTTTGTTTTTATAAGACATGTTTTTTCACCTAGTTTGTAAGCTTCTTCAATTTTTACTTGTATGCCCAATTCTTTTTCCATAAAATTAGTCATGGTCTTGTTAAGTTCATTTGGATCATTTGTATCCATCGACAGTCCTTGGACTATAACATTGTTAGCTTTTCTTTCTTTCTCGAGCTGTTCTATTTTCATCTTTACTATATTTAGTTCCTGTTTAATTTCTTTATTTTCTTTCTTTAGCTGTTGGTTACTTTGTTTGAATCCATTTATTTCTTCTTTCAATTCACGGATTTCATTTTTGTATTCTCGTTGTTCTTCTTTTATTCCTCTTACCTCTTCGGTTAGGTATTTTGTTTGTTCCGTTAAATTTTGCATCATTTTTAAGAGCTGATCAATTTTGGTCTCATCTTTCTGTTGTTTGGGAGGGGTTCTGGTGATTTTCTTGCTCTTGTTGAAAATATCTCCTTCATCTTCCTTTCGACTTCTCTTTTTGCTGTCCTCTGAAGTATAATCATCGTCGCTATCCATTTTTTCTTCT